AATTTTTAATGAACAAAAAATATGAAGAATGTAGATTGTATGTTTTAAAAGGATAAAACGTTAACTTTGTAATGTTAAGCATCATTTACTTTATACGTTTCTAAGTTATAGTTGAAAGCTGTTATTATTCAAAGTAATTTACAAAAACCATACGTACATCTGATTTCAAAACTAGGTGTTAAAACCGGTGTCTTAGGAAAAATGATTCATCATCATTCAAAATTGCTGTTATTTATCCTGTAAAACTTCAGTTGAACATTTCAATGAACCAATTTCAGAGAAAGATAGTGACTCCATCTTTATAATGAATTGTAAAAAAGTATTACATTTTCCATACTTTGATGTGGCAGTAAAACAATGGATTCACTTTAAAATAGTATCGTTGATAATATACTAAGTGACATATAAATCCGAACACCCAGTTTAAATGGTTTTATTTTAATAAAAGTTGGTGAATGTATTTATCTTACTGTAAATAACACGTGAAAAAATTTTCAGCCTTATCAGTTGGACATTCCGGTTTTTATACTGCTTTTTTTTTTAATTCACTAACCCTCTAAAAATGAATATTTCAGCCGCAGTAAAGAATCAACGTTGGCGGATTTTGGTTCTTGACATCCTTTACGATCGGTTACGATGCCTAGAGTACGGAGACCTGTACGATTTCGTCAACTTAGTGAGTTTGATAGGGGCCGTATAGTGGGACTTCGGGAAGCTGGACTGTCTTTTCGGGCAATTGCAGTTAGAGTGCAAAGAAGTGTAGACACTGTGGTTAGGTGTTGTCAGGCTTGGCTTCGAGAAGGCCGTACACAAAGAGCAAGGGGCACTGGACGCCGCCGTAGAACACCAGACCGTGAAGATCGCCGCCTAAGATTATTGGCCTTAAGGGACCGTTTCTCCACTACCAGGTCCATTGCAAATGAATGCCTTGCAGAACACGGAAGACCTATTGGCATGCGAAGTGTTAACCGACGAATGAAAAGTTTTGGCTTGTTTTCATACCGGCCACACTGGGTCCTCCCTTTAACTCGAGAACACCGACGTAATCGCCTTGAGTGGTGCAGACAACGGTCACTCTGGGATCAGAAGTGGAACAGTATTGTATTTAGTGACGAGTCTCGATTTTGTTTAGGCATGCACGATGGTCGTGCCAGGGTTAGAAGGCGACGTGGTGAAAGGAGGAATCCACAGTTTTTTGTTGAAAGACATGTTCATCACACTGTTGGAGTTATGGTTTGGGGTGCTATAGTTTATGATTCCAGGTCACCTTTAATCTTCATCAGAGGTAACATGAACGCGCAGCGTTATATCCACGAAGTTCTAGAACCCCATCTTTTACCCTATCTTGACACCCTGGCAGATCCAACTTTCCAACAAGATAATGCCCGACCACATGTTGCAAGAGTCACAGTAGACTTCTTTCAACATAATGATGTCACATTGTTACCATGGCCACCAAGATCTCCCGACTTATCCCCAATTGAGCACGTGTGGGATATGATGGGTAGGAGATTGCTCAATTTGCAATGTCGTCCTCAGAGCCTAGAAGCACTTCGAGAGGAGTTGGTGGTTGCCTGGAATGAGATACCACAGGAGGACATTGACCACCTGATCAGAAGCATGCCTAGGCGCGTTGGAGAAAGCGTAGCACATCAGGGTGCATCCACACATTATTAAAAGTCAAAGGGCTTTAAAGCAGTGCAATCATTTTGAAATTTTTATCATTTACTTATTATGCTTCATTAAGTACTTATACAAAATTTTATTAAAATAAAGCCATTAAACCATTTTCGACATTCCCTCCTTATACTCCAATAACCGTCAAGCTGTCAAAAAAACGACAAAACGTAAAATAACTTTTTTCCTATGCCAAAACTGGAGAGGTAGTATTATAATGAGAATTTTCGTAATTGAGATATATTTTTTTTGATTGTCAAATAACATGTACATCACGAAAAACCATGTCTCATCTTTCTGTCGGTCTGTCTGTCAGTCTGTTTGTCGGTCTGTCCGCTAATTCTATAACCTATAACTTGAGAAGTACCGTTCGGTTTTTGATGAAATTTTCAAGTAAGGTAACTACTACGCCAAGGTAGGCTTTGTAACATTTGGAAATCGGTCTACTAGTGGCGGGGCTAGGGACAAAAAAACGAAAGAAAATCTTTCAAACTTCGTTTATAATGTCTTGTAGAAGTTTGGAGTTGTAGGGGTAGGGGTTGTAAGTGTAACGTCTGTAGTATTAGTCAAAGACGTTCTGTCATCAAGAGCTTCTGATCCCGGTAAACACATGAAAATTAGATGATAAAACTTGGCAGTTGGCGTTCCGTGCTATATTTGGATATTAGGAGTACGTAACACTTTAGTGTTTTGCGATATTTTTGTAAATATCCACACATACATTTTTCTGAATTTTATGATTTTTGAATTTACCACCCATTTCGTCTAACCTATAATTTGTGTTACTTTATCTATGATAATTCTCTGAATATTACGTCAACTAGATTTACTTGTCAAACCGACAAAAACCAGAAACTCTCGAACAGAGGTCGCTGTGTGCGCAGGTGCATTATCGTGGTGGAAGAACCAGGCTCCTGACTGCCACAAATCGGGTCTTTTTGGCGAACACCGTTTCGCAATCGTCTTAAAACCTCCAAATAGCACAAGCTCTAGAATTTTGTTTAATATTTTCGTCGATTCGGGCAGTTGATGGACGTCCAGAGCGAGGTTTGTCATCAATCGACATGTCGCCATTTTTAAATCGACCAAACCACTCGTACACCTGAGTTTTTCCCATAGCATCATCTTTGTGAGCAAATTTCAACATTAAAACAGCGGCATTTTTAGCTATTAAAAAGCAAAATTATCGTAAAAACTAAACAATCGCGAAACACCTCTAGCAAAAATAATGAACAAAGAGGAACGCAACAAGGCCAGATCGACAACTCAGGTGGCGCTGAACTGGTAATGATTTGCGCTGTACGCCGTCTAGGGGCAGAAATGTGTACTACACAAGCTCCGCCCGCAATTCCGGTTATTTTTGGGTACCTCCTCGTAAATGAGAAACACGGACTTGATGCATATATTTTTAAGCAACAGAACACTTGTGAAACAAAACTCGTGAGTTTAATACTTCGATCGTTTAGGTAGTCGTCAATTTTGAAAATTGACTTAGAGGCGGAACATAGTGTTACAACGTTTCAAAGATTTCTGATCATTTTCAAACATTGTTTAGAGGGGACGAAAATTGTAGGTTGGACGATGCAATAAATGGTTCTAAATCGTTGCATATTAGGTGTCAGTAAAAGTGCTTTCATTATTAAAAAGCTGCTGATCTCAGTGATACTATATACCTGTTAGACATAGTAAGTGACATACACTTTAGGAAAAACCATTGTTATACATGGGAAATCATTTCTTGGCAACAGCGCATCGGCTCGTCTACTTTCATCGCTATTCGTACATATTTCCTACCGTTAACCGCAGACCTGTATCACGAATGAGAATAATAGGCAGATACGCTGTGTTGCCAATTTGAGTAGAGCTTCCCGAATTGTGGGGAATTTAGAGTTAAGTGTTGATTCATTCAAGCTTTTAATCAGCATGGCCTAGACGTTAGAACTTCATAAAGATAACATTGAAGCTGAATGCTGCTGGAGAATAGTGTTTCGAATATTCAAAGAGGAGCGGGACACTATACTCGTTCAATGGGTCATCAAGCCACAGTCTTTTCAACAAAGAAATTATTTTACGAAAATGCGTTATATTTTTACGATTTTGTCGTCACCAAATCTCTGTTTCTCAAAATGTACGTCTATTGTAGAATTTTCAGCAAACTAAGCAAGAAACGTGATCTAGTATTTACTCAACATTACGGATTTCTCGAAATACATTAAAAAATGTGACCTAGATACCTAACTGCCCCAAGCTCTTTAAATATAATACCTTAAACCAGGGTTACCAGATGCTCAGTCACGTTGATTGTCATGTTGTACTGCGCAAGTCAGCAAACAATCTGGCGTAATAAACGTTAGGAATCATCAGGTATTGCCAGATTCCCGAATACCGGGCACCATAGTAACCGTTATAGTTGTCCTTCAAAGTTGTCAAATCGTCCCTATGGCGCAAATTCGCCACACCAGGCAACTGTGCTATAAACAAACCCTGTCACTACCATTTGATAGTCATATGGTAGTTGTAGCCCTATCTAGCGGTCCATGATTTCTCTCAATACTGTTGTATCTCTACTGACAACAAGAATAGGGATTACAAAATCATTTATACAACAATATACAAACATGAAAAATATGATTTGAACCATGAAACATTAATACAATTTTAATGGTTTGAGCTTTTTTCATTTTTGGAATACTCTTATGTGGAATCCGCAGCTAATTTTCCCGAAATTTGGGTAGACTTAGATGTCTTAGAAATATGACATATTGGTATCGGCAACTCTGCGAATGGGAGAAACAAATCGCATTTGTTGAGCGCATCCGTCTAAGCGGTAGGCGCCAGCGCCCGTTCTGTCATCTCTCTCTTTTATCACTCTTCTACTTTACCCCGTTGTCCGTCACACTCCGACGCTGCCACATAGGATCCTACAATCGAGTGTCTTTCACGCACCTACATACTTTTGTATATTTCCATCTCTCTTCCTCATCATAATGTATAATAATGTTTTTTCCTAAGGTGTATATTTTCCCTACATCTGACACGGAAACAGAAATATGGTAGATTTGCTTTATATAGTTTGATATGGTCGAAGATTCATCGTATTTAGGTGAATCCACCTAATCACGATTCGATTTCGCCTTTTGAAACGATTTGACTCATCTCTTTTCTTTGAAACCTCAGACCAAAGCGTAGGATGTATAAAGTCAATCTACTTGGCGCCATTTTTGCAGCAAATTTTATTCTCCATGAAAGATTATAGTAATGTACGTATATTTCTCGGTCATGTGCTCTGGGTAGCAGATTTTAAGCTTCTTTACCATAGCAACAATCAAACTATCGACCAAGCAACCTAAGACACCCTTCATGGACTAAACTATTACACAGTTCGAATTGTCTGTTTGAAATACGTCATTTCATACCGAGCTCGGTTATAACTTCGAGAAAATGGTGATTGTTCACGTAAAACACAAGGACGATAGCCAGTTTCTATTCGTAACCACCCTGAAGACCACAGTGAACGAGTTGGTGAATTCAGTGGTTGCTATTTACAATGGTCGGTTGAAAATTCAGAGGATCTGTTCCGAAATGGAGGAGCTCGCTAAGTACGGCACGTTATTTCCTCCCGAAATATTAGGTTTGTAGATGGTTTCTATTGTCCTTTATGTAGCAAAGCTTTTTCGCTCTGTAGCCTTGCGGAAGCACATGAGTACTTTGTTCCGGTGGGATACTTTCAGCAGTATGTTAAAGCTATTCTATGCAATTTCCACATCAAAGCAGCAAACTGCCTTTTTGTGTACGAAAATAAATCGACAATTACCAAAATTAAATCAGTATTTTCAATTGTAAACAATTTTAGGAGATTAAACTAACAATACTGATAAGTGAATTATGAAAAAATTACTGATTTAAAATCAACATCCTAATTTTTTACTACTTTTGACGAAGGTCAACAGCAAACATAATATTTGTGTAAAAATCGTGAACCATCGAATCATTGTTATGCTCAAAAATTATCAGTAACCGGAAAACGGAATTCTGCGACGCTATGAAGTCTCGTATCATCTGCATAACTGCATTCCTGCTATACAGGGTGTTTCAGTTTATTGTTGCATAACTTTAAGATTCGATAGAACTTTTAAAATCAATGCATAAAGTCTATATAAACATGGGTCGAAAAATGCGTGGCTTCCGAAATACACGGTGTTTAAATTTACTTTCTAAAATAGTTTTTTTTAAATATTTCGAACAATATTTGATGTACAACAGTGAAAATTGGTATACAAGCGTTTTTTGGTACGACTAAACGAACCATGGGCATAGTATTACTGTAGCCGCTAGAGGGCGCTCTCTACTGTACCTGTAGTGTATTAAAATGACCGAAAAATTTTTCTTAGTGCAATTTTTTGCTTTTGAATACAAAAACTGATTCTTCGCACTTTTCAACATAAAAAAGCTCTCTTGTGAATTTTCGTTATAGTTAGCCGTTTTTGAGATATTTCGATTTTTAAGGTTCGATGCATTTTTAATTATTTATGATAAAATAACGTTAAAAAGTCAGTATCTCGATAATTTTTAGAAGTAGGCTGTGCCTGCAAATATTTTTGAAATTGAAAGCAGAATAAGGTTAAACGTCAATTAGTTGAAGGTTAGTTTTGTTGTCTGTTGAAACCTGAAACGTTCTTTTGCAATTGTGAATGCACGAAATTTAGTTTCTTTTACCTGTTTTTTTTTTGTAAGTTTTATAAAAATGCCATTTTTATTCTCCAATCAAGAGTTAGCGGATATTAATTTTGTGTATGGCTTTGTAAATGGAAACGCAGCAGACGCAGCCAGAGAATACGCACGAAGATTTCCAAACAGACGACATCCAACTCGATCAGTATTTGTAAGAGTGCATCGCCAAATAATTGAAAATGATTTTGGAAATCTCCAAAGGGATCAAAACATAAATGTTCCTCAGCGCAGATTTACCCTTATGATTCTGCGTGAGTTTGATAGAGATCCGACCACAAGTGTTAGGAGAGTTTCTGGTGCCTTGGTAATTTCAGCAAGCCATGTTCACCGTGTTCTTAGAAATGACCATAGACGTCCTTACCATTTGCAACCGTGCAAGGACTGCAGCCAAGGGACGGAGAACGAAGAATCACATTTTGTCAGTAGATTCTTTATACTAATAGGGAGTTTTTAAGTAACGTTTTATGGACCGATGAGTCATGCTTCACTAGACGTGGAGTGGTAAATTTTCATAATCAACATATTTGGTCGCATGAAAATCCGCATGCAGTTCGGGAAAGAAATTTTCAGCATGAATTTAGTGTGAACGTGTGGATTGGTATCTACCGTAATCGACTATTTGCACCCTACCTTTTGCCTGCAAGGTTAAATGCTGCAACCTTCTTGGAATTTTTAAAGGCTGAACATGCAAATATGTGGGATGATGTTATGTTAGATTTAAGAGGATTGGCCTGGTTCCAGCTTGATGGTTGTCCAGCTCATTATTCGAGAATAGTTAGCAACTGGCTGGACGAAAATTATCCACCATGATGGATCGGCCGTGGAGGACCAGTCGCCTGGCCTCCACGATCCCCTGACCTAAATCCATTAGATTTCTTTGTGTGACGATTTCTAAAAGATAAAGTGTACCAGACTCCCGTAACCACAAGAGATCTGCTAATAGATAGAATCAGGAATGCATGTGATGATATAAGGCCTCATTTGAATAATGCTATACCACGTTCGATCATTCGTAGATGTGAATTGTGTATTGAACAATTGGGTTTACATTTCGAGCAACTACTTTAGATTTTGTATGTTTGTCCTAACTATCCAATAGCATTTTAGTTGTAAATAATTAATTTAATTTATTAAAAATAATATTGGAAAATTAAACAAATTAATATTCTGTTTTTTTGTGTTTATTTGGAGTTAGGAATTATTACTGTGTTTAAAAACACAATCTAAACGATCATCTTAATTACTTGTAATGCCCATATCGAAAATGTAAAAAAAATATAATTTTCCCATAAATAATTAAAAATGCATTGAACCTTAAAAATCGAAATATCTCAAAAATGGCTAACTATAACGAAAACTCACAAGAGAGCTTTTTTATGTTGGTAAGTGCGAATAATCAGTTTTTTTGTTCAAAAAGCAAAAAATTGCACTAAGAAAAAATTTTTGGTCATTTTAATACACTACAGGTACAGTAGAGAGCGCTCTCTAGCGGCTACAGTAAAACTATGCCCATGGTTCGTTTTGTCGTACCAAAAAACCCTTGTATATCAATTTTCACTGTTATACATCAAATAGTGTTCGAAATATTTAAAAAAAAAGCTATTTTAGAAAGTAAATTTAAGCACCCTATATTTCGGAAGCCACGCATTTTTCGATCCATGTTTATATAGACTTTATGCATTAATTTTAAAAGTTCTATCAAATCTTAAAGTTATGCAACAATAAACTGGAACACCCATTTTTATTTATTTATTTGTTTAAGACTCGAACAGAACTCGTTCTAGATTTACCTACCCTGCACTCAACAATCAAATTGGGCACATTTATGCAAGCGTTAACGAGAATAGGTATTATTGTCTCCCAAAGTCTAACAAAACGGAAGTATATGAGCAACACCCAACTTTCCGATTTCGATATCTTTCTATTTATGTTAGTGCGTTAGTTCGAAGTTGTACTTTGAAGTAGACTCTTCAAATGAATGACTGATGACGGGCTACCATGTTACATTAAGATAAAATGATGCATGTTTGTCTATATTTCAGGACTGACGGAAGAACAGGTAGAAGAGTTAAAACTGACTGACCCATGGGGTGAAAAGTGCATTCCTAGCGGAGGTTACACCTATGAGAAGGACCCTATTGGTAGAAGGAATGGTAGGAAGCCGTCAAAAGCTATGCAGGACGTTCTCACAAATGCTATAGCTGAAGCAAAGGAGATGATATCAAAGAAACTAGTTATACAAGGTATGAACCAAGTAAAGACGTATGCATCTTTTTTGAAGACATGCGATTGTAACAGCTTCAAACGCATGGCCTGGTGCACCAAACTTTTTATATCTACACCTGCCAGTGGCATTGAGAATAGGCAACCTTGTTGTAATCTACTCTACTATTATTATTCATAAGAATCAAGTTTTATCAAAGAAGCAGATATCAGCTGCGTTCAAGCGGTCGGATCTCAGACTATTAGGAAAGTGTTCATATGGCGGATCTGTCAAAACAAATCCCTTAGAATTGCTATTTAGAAAAAAGTCTCCTTAATCACAGTGAATGAATGAAAAGGGGCAGACTTGGTTGGTGGTGAAAATCCCTCAACCTGGTCACACTGTCAATGCACCACTGGTACATAGGCGTCAAGTCCCGGGGTCGTTTTTACAGCCCGAACATTGATGCTATAATTTCTCCTGGCATATAGGCTCCATGAGGTCTGAGCTCAAAATTTTCAAAATTTGGTGCAGACTTGAAGTATTGAAGTGTTAACCTGTTAATACGTATGCCATTAAAAAAGAACATGAAATGGAAAGTGTATCTAGCTACTGATAATGTCATCCATCCGTGAGAGGTGTGGTACTTTTATCTTACCACTTAAGTCTTCCTGCGTTAGAGAGATTTTAGAAGTACCGTGTCTATGAGGATGTGTCTAGACTGATAGGTGGTGAGGGTCAACGGAGTACAAGCGAAACATTTGATTTTCAGACCCCATGTCAGTTTATATAGATGGCATTCTAAAGTATACTGTAGGCAGCGCCGATTCAGCAGCCTGTGAATATCCACAAATTCATTGCATCCAAGTAAGCACGAAGTATAGGGAACGTAGACTACTTTTTAGCATCTCTTGAATATTTTATCTGCAATACTGCAGCCAGTGGGTATTAAAAACTTCGTGTCCTGAGTAAACCGAGGATTTACATATAAAATCGATTGTTCTCCACGATAGTGAAATTAATGATCAGCATCTAATAAAACACAAACAAAAGAGTGTTTCTCTCTGACTTTTAATTAGACCTAGTCGCAACATTAATTACTGTGGAAGTTAAATAGGTTGGTTAGCCGTTAGTTGAGGGATTTTAGATTCAAGGTGGTCAATCTTTGAGTGAGCTAAGATAAATTTAGAGTTTGCTGTATTTCAAAAGCACTAAATAATAGAGACTTATTTCACGAATCCGCAATTTAAACCATAAAGCAAAGTCGTATTGTGACACATGGCTATGGCGTTAATGCTTTAGTGAGTCCAAAATATGATAGAATACTACGGAATGTGATAAGTAAGAAAAACATTATTGATATGGTATGCAAAATAACTCATTTTAGACGCCGTAAAATTATACGAAAAAACAAAAACTTCAATGTCAAAGTTCCTAAGTATCCTCTAAATATCTATTAACAAAATCCTGCAGCGTTTTAGGAATTATTGTTATTGTAAACTTTTGTCTTTTAATTGCTTGTAATAAACTAAAATGTTTGTTAAAAGATGAATGAGCTTTTTTAAATTAGGAGGCATATGATTTAAGATGCAAGCAAATTACCATTTAATAAAATCAATTATATGCAATTGAAAACAAAGATTCACAATAAAAATACCCTCTAAAATGCTTTGAGATTTTTCTAATGAATTGGCAATATTCAAACGTTTCTTTATTCATATTGTTTCCTTGGAGTCGAAAATAGCATATTATGCACTTTTTCAAATATTAAATCTTTTATATCCGGAAGTCTAGTGCTACCACGAAAAAATAATAATTTCTGGGCTCTGCGGATCAGAATAGTTAAAAGTCAGTTGCTGCTTCTTCGGCACCAATTTTCTATTTTATGAAGCTGTGCTATCGATGTGGAATTTTATACGTACTATATATTTATTGCAATCAAAGATTTCAAAGGCTCAAATTACACCAGTGACGTAGAAAGTGAAACATTTTGATTCAAATATCTCTGACACTTTAAAAAGTATACATAATTTTACATAAATTGCTCTTCTTAGAAACTTTGGTTAGACGATTAGATGATACGTTGTCATAATGTCGAAGAATTCATATTCTCTCCTTGTGTTACGTAGAAATAAACAATGTCATGTATTTCGGTAACGGGATATTTTAGATTATATGCTTAACAAAATCTTCCGTCTTTAAATGAAGTTTCTGATCAGATACTGTTTTTGAAATCAATCCATATTTTTCCGAGGCGTGCTAAGTAGAAATCGCTGCTCGCTGAATAACTAAGTCTAACGACATCGTATTTTAAAAATGCATTATCTGGGAATTGCTATCCGTTTCTTGAGCCTTCTCATATTTCCTTTTTCCAATAAAAGCGATTTACACCCGGAAATAACGACAAATTGCATGTGCGACAACTGGCAACCGCTGAATCCAATTTTCAACGAATGAGCTCTCAGAGCCCAAGATACACAACAAAATGGAATGGATTTACCTCTTTTAATCGCATTTATGAGATACAGTTAATTTTCTGTTATTTTTGGTGGAGGTGCATGGTATTGCGTACACCGTGCGTTCACCATCTATGTAATAAATCGATAGCCTTGTTCAGGTTGTACATGGAACTATCGTAGAACCGTTCTGATTTTGCCTGTAGCCAATTACGAATTAGTTCTGACATCATCAACATCAACTGTGCATAATCACAATGCGTCAGGGATAGTTCTCTGTAACACCCGAACAAGTCTTAAGACATCGAGTAAAACATATGTGGTTCTCTCGAAAATCGATAACAATATTTCGCTCGTAAGTAACTGAAATGATGGATCTTGCCTAAGAAATCTTAGTGGCCTGGTGACACGATAGCTACCATTGAAGTATTTTATAAAAAATATACAAGGTTCTTGAACGAGTGAAATTAGCAAGTTGAAATTTGAGGTAATGAAATTTATGCATGAACGTGATAGTTGAAAACATCAAGAGGGAGGTGGATCTCGTTTTAAAACGTTTTTCAAAATGGAATGAAGGCGCTTTACGGTATACATCATTTTTCTTCTTTTGGGAGGGTATATCTGAATGTGCAATAGAATATAGGACATTCCAAATAAAACGTTGACAAATTTGTAAATTCCTTAAATGGAACCCTCCAGATTTCATTACATATTCCTATAGGTCTTTCCAAGAGTGTTGATATCATATTCTATCAATCGAACATAAACATTTAATGATAAATTTCGATTCATTGGAATCATATACGATTGCATTTTGATGATAAGCTGTTAAGTTATAATAATGTTTGAAAATGCTAAACTTTGACAGCCTGCCAGTGCGAGATTTTGTAATTTTATATTGTAGGATTACATGATCCTCATCAAAAAGACTAACTACTGTAAAATATATTCCAAAATAGTGGTCAACCAACAAAAGAAGAAGATTGATGTACATATTAACAACGTTTTGTTGACTGGTCGTTGACTTGTAAGTGACTCATTGAACAAAAACGCTCAAGTTTGACAGCATGTCAGTCCGCCATTTTGAAAGGTATCGATTCTGTGTTCTAACATTATGAAGAAGGTTAAAAATGAGGTATGGCATGACCCCTCGTTCGATTTAAGAAAAAGTTCCATGATATCACTCAGCCACCATGTTAAAATTTTTAACTGCCACTTTTACTGTGAATTTCACGGTTATTTCCACTAAGCATTTTCTGACTATCTCAGAATGTCGAACATAGTCATAAAAACAAGTCAATGATATGATGTATCTCTAATTTGCGCCACTGTAAATGATCGCTCTGGGCTATGGAAAATTAATTGTTGGAACGAACCTACAATATTCATGCATCAACGTCAGTACCTCAAATTTCAGCTTGTAGCTTCACCCTTTCAAGCAGTAAGTGGGGAGGGGGACCTTTGTGAAAAGCACTGTAACATTGTGTATAAATACTTGGATTCAATGTTCAATGAGTTTTAGGTAAATGTTTGACAATGAAGACTGTGCAAGAAGCAATCAATATCCTGAAAGGAGCTGTTACGATTGTGTACCCTATGAAGCTGCCACCTCATGATACTATACGAATGGAGTTTGAAAATACTGAGGATCTAACGGGAACTCAAGCTTCATTGGAGGTATTGCATAAATTGCATCTTCTCAATGCTAACATTTGACAACCAGAATAATTCGATGCGATTCCCACATTAAAAGTGTAGCCCCGCTATTAAAACATTTCAATAATGTATCAGATATGCTAGGAAATTGCTAAAAAGTACGTAAACTGATCATGCCATCTACTTCATATCGCTTAAGCAATTTTGAAGAATCATCATATTTTATTCAAAACGTAGATCGGATAGTGTAGGGCTGCGGACAAAAGTTCCAAAAACTCCGGACGTCGTGGCCATTTTCAGTTATTTATGGATCTAAACAGCTTTTTAGCGATTGATATGACAACGTTTGACAAAAATTGACAAAATCGGCTTGAACATAAAAATAAGATACTCAAGAAAGTACTAATGAAATAATTAATAACACTTTTTTTTGGCAATACATATAGTATGAAAAATTAGCAGAAAATTATATGGAACGGAGGTCGAACAAGGTTTTTGAGAAAAAAACTATGAATAAATATATAATCTATGTACAAAGTGAACTTACCTGATAATTTAAATATTGTAGATGGCCAGCAATGATCTACAAATTAACATCACGATTACTTAACATTCCAATATCATTTGTGCTCCTACTCAGGACAGTGTGTGCCAATGTTTTGCGGCAAAAAGGAGTCAGGGGTGGGTACATGCTTATAATAAAACAATTACATTTTGCTAGTCTTGTCGCAACTATAGAGGATGTTCTAGAAATAACACGGCAGAGTGACACGGGAGGTACATTGGCTGCATATCAATCAGATAAAATCAACATGACCTAGTTTTAGAGGTATCGCCACTTTTAAGCTTTTTCAACAAATCCCTACTTTTTTGCCTGTTATGGCTGTAAAGAACTTCTAACTTATGTTTTTTACTGGGCTGCAACTGCTTGGTTGATGCAACTGAGTATTCATTTCATTGAAAACTAGCTGGGTATGCTAAAAGAAATAAATTATTACGTTTTGTTTCAATGAGAAAACCTTTACTAAAGTTTGACTAATTACTGTGAAAAAACGTACCAGACTGAATCGGCAAATGATTTTAAAAACTGCAATTTGGATACATAGATTTTTTGCAACATTATCCACCCATTCTTTTGGGAAATGTGACTCTTGAGACAAGAAAAAGGATATGGTTACAGAACAATGGGTGTCCTACACACTATGCTAGTGCAGTAAGGGGGTATCTTGATGGAAAGGTCTCTAGAAGATGTATTGGCTGACTAGGACCAATTTTGTGACCCCCGCGCCCCCAGACCTGAACCATCTGGATTTTTTTTACTTGGGATGTTTAAAAGATAAGGTCTATGGGAAACCAGTTCGATCAGCCGATGAACTGCATCATCGAATTCGTCAAACAGCACCCGAAATGTCCGATTTAAGTTTGATACATTTAAAAGAACAATTTTTAATAACATGCGGGTTGTGTATAGGAGTAGGCGTTTTGAAAATCTGATGTGAAAATAATAATAATGATCATTTATTTCAAGCAATATTTACATTAAAAAATCTAAATTTAATTTTCATTTAGTTAATTTAAGATGTTAATAATGATTCCTAATTCTTGATTTGATTTAAATGTTGTAAAAACCAATAGAAATAAAAAATACAACCTAATGTTTTGTTCATTACTTTGATGCCTCCATATAACAATGAATAAAAAAGGATAATGGATAGCTGTTTTAGATATTTGCTAAAATAAAAAGCTATTACAGCAACGACAAAGTTGTAATTTGGACACAAAAGACAGCTGCACTTATTATTTTTTAATCGTAGTATTACGACTTCAATGAGAAAAGTTGGAATTATTTAGGATTTAGTAAAAAGAACCTACAAATATTATACTATTTTTGAAAGAGCATTAAATAGCTAGTTTTTATGGTCATTTGCTGATTCAGTCTGGTACATTTGCTTCCACAGTAATTAGTCAAACCTCAGTAAAGGTTTTCGCAATGAAACCAAATATAGTAATTTAGTTTTTTGACTATTAATTGTAGCCCAGGAAAAAATCCTGAGGTAGAAGTTCTTGATAGCCATATCGTGACACCAGATTCTTTGTATGCACAGGGGCAGTAGGATGACGTCGCCTGGCTGGTTGCACAGGGTGGTGCTAATGTTGATGATGATGATTAGTCAAACCTCAGTAAAGGTTTTCGCACTGAAACCAAATGTAGTAATCTAGTTTTTTGTCTATTAATTGTAGCCCAGGAAAAAATCATGAGATAGAAGTTCTTTATAGCCATATCGTGACACCAGATTCTTTGTATGCACAGGGACAATAGGATGGCGTCGCCTGGCTGGTTGCACAGGGTGGTGCTAATGTTGATGATGCGGGTCGATGTACTTGGGGTGATGTTAGTCGATGTACTGGAATGTACAACAAAACATTATTTGGATCATACGTCTTACATGTCACAAACTTCCTTTGACACAAAGAGTGTCCAGAGAATCTTGTAACATTTTTCGAAACCTTCTCCCAGACAGTCCCGGACGCCGTTTAAAGTAGAAAAAATGCGGCGAATCTCGGAGAGTAGACAGCCCTGGTATGTGTACAAATGGTAGTTCTGTCGGCCCTCCTTATTTCGTATTCTTTCATTTTCCCTTTCCATCTGCGACCCCAAGATAACCATCACAAATAAGATTGATAGGTTGCCCAAATGTAACAGATGTTGAGCTCCCTACTCCAGCGTACAAAACTTGAGACATTAAAATGTTAAAACAAGTTCGAGTAATTTTATTTAGGTCTAAGATATATACGGACTGATACGAGGGGAATAAGCCAAACTGCTGAGATGCCTATCATTGACTTTGTTGAGTTATTTGAGGATATGGTGTAATTGGAAAAGTGTAAGCACTAGCATAACGAAGCGTGTATGATAAGCTACACTGCACTTTATTTCGTCTTTACTTTATGTGTTACCAAAGGCCCCATATCAAACGAAATATACAAAAAGATGTTTAATTTGTGCTATGTTCTCAACGTCAAAGTAGGACCCAGGATTTCGATATGCCCTTGGATCATTTTCGTTGCTGTAATCGGTTGAGTTTTGATTTTTACAACCCCCTAAGAAATATTATACAATACCAAAGTAAAGGGAGCAATGTCATTTTGATATAGACTCGCAGAAAAGAGTCTATGTATACATTCTAAGAACTGTGTGTGACTGATCCGGAGGCATTTGGCGGCAATTTCAATCTCTAAAGTCTGTCAAAAGTGAAAGTACAACAAACTTTATAAGATATAAATGTTTCTCAAAACAGAAAAAACAGGAACGGATTCATGACGTATTAAATTGACTGAACATAGCAACAAACACGTTTAAATATCGTAGGATTGCGTAACTGCACTTATCAGAAAAAATAAACTCAAACATTATGGTCGACAAAAGGGCTGGAATAACTAAATAATAAGACTCATTAGAGAAAAGATTATAAAACAAGTCGCCGGTATTATACTCGAGACATACAAGAACCTGTATATGATTATGATTGTTTCCGGTTATTAAAAGCTTCCATGAAGTTTGTCTTGGCCCCAAACAAACAGAAACGACACTGGTGTCGTACACCTTAAAGTAGGCAACACATAGCTTGTGCAAAGCGCGGGTATCTAATACATAGTGTAAATTTTGCTTTGAAATTAACTCATTTAATTCATCTAGGGCACAGGGAAGCAATGAAAAGCAAAGCGTTGTTTTTCAACTTTCATTTGGATTATAGGTATAACGTAACTGTAATTAAAACACAAAGTATTGGTATATTTTTCATCGTGCGTCAATTAACTAACTGCCTGAGCTGGAGCTTTATATACAAAATTTATTTCCAAATAGAGGGTGTAGATATCCGCATTATGCAATAAAAAACGCCAGTTGCTTTATTAATTTTTTTCATCTAGATAATCGATCCCAACACTGCTCAAATCTGGTTCTGCGGTAAGGAAATGTACCGGGAAGGAAAAACTGTTGGAGACTATGTCGGAAAAGTGGAAAACTGCAAAGTTATTATGAAGATTTCGAAAAGAGGTAAGCAAAACTGAATAAACTGGATTATGACGGTGATATTTTCTTCCATTTAGGCTGATGATTGATTTTTAAAATACTAGAAACTGGTAGATATCTGCACAAGTAAAACCGATCGGTCATGTCATGGAATTTTAGTTTTAACCCATACTAGGGTGATTTTTTTGCTTATCTTTTTGGCAACACTGTTTTTTACAGATGACGCGTGTCTTTGTCAAACTTGTTCAGTTTGGTCTATAATTTAACCATGAATCGACTTACAAACGAACAACGCTTGCAAATTATTGAATTTTACTATCAAAATTCATGCTCGGTTAAGAGAGTGCATCGAGCACTGCTTCCAATTTATGGGCAATTTGGTCGGCCTACTGAGCCAGCGATTCGGAAGCTTGTGACTAAATTTCGAACCCAGTTTACATTATTGGACATTAAACCACCAACACGCAGACGTAGAGTGAGGACTGAAGAAAATATTGCGGCTGTATCCGCCAGTGTTAGTGATGACCGTGAAATGTCGATTCGCCGCCGTTCGCAGCAATTGGGCCTCTGTTACTCCACTACGTGGAAAATTTTGCGCCAGGATTTGGGTGTAAAACCTTATAAGATACAGCTGGTGCAAGAATTGAAGCCACACGACCTCCCACAACGTTTCCAATTTGGTAAATGGGCGCTGGCAAAGTTGGAGGCAGATCCACATTTTTATCGAAAAATTGTGTCCAGCGACGAAGCTCATTTCTGGTTGAATGGGTACGTTAACAAGCAAAATTGCCGCATCTGCCAGCCAGAAGCATTGCAAGAGCTACCAATGCATCCCGAAAAAATCATTGTTTGGTGTGGATTATGGGCCGGTGGCATCATCGGGCCGTACTTCTTCAAAGACGACAATGGCCGGAACGTAACTGTGAATGGCGAGCGCTACCGTGCTATGGTAACAAACTTTTTTTTGCCCAAAATGGAAGAACTGGACTTGGCTGAAATGTGGTTTCAACAAGACGGTGCCACATGCCACACCGCACACGAAAAAATGGCCCTATTGAGAGGCGAGTTCGGTGAACAGTTTATCTCACGATTGGGGCCCGTCAATTGGCCGCCTAGATCGTGTGATTTAAGGCCGTTGGACTATTTCTTGTGGGGCCATGTTAAGGCTAATGTCTACAGGCATAAACCAGTAACGATTGACGCACTGGAAGTCAATATTGAAGCATGAGAGAGTGTGCTAAAATTGGACCTTGCGCATGGGCCATCTAAAGCGGAGCCGCGGCCAACATTTACATAAAATAATCTTTAAACATTAAATTATATCGACCGTTCTATCGACTCAAATAAAGATTTAAACGTTTTTTCAAATTTTTTGTGTTTTTTTTGAAAATCACATCCTATACCTCTTAAAAAATCACCCATTATCATGATATACTTTATTTTACTTGATTTGATGCTACATGGCACTGATACATCATTTTTTCCTACTCATTTTCAAAAAAAGAGCAATATATTAAACATCATGAGTCTTTCAAGTAGTCAAAATAATGGGATGAAAAATAATCAACAACAATATATTGCAGTCACAAAAAATACTCAGTATTTACTACTGGTAAAAAATACATTTCGATTTATTAAAAAACGGATAAAAGATCTAATAGCAGTCTGCCGCACAGGTCAAAGAAGCTGTACATACATGAATGTACAAATTCATTATTTATCTAGGTTTTTTTCACTATCATCATTTATGTACGGGTAGGAATGTAACTTCTCGTTAGAAGGATACGGAAAGATATGGTGATTTCTCAGATTAATAGTGAAAAAACCTTGTTGTTCGTTATCTGACAGCAATTATTGGTCCTAAGTTTACCAACAGGTTATTTAGGTATATGACATGTACATCACAAAAAACTATGTCACTCATTTCCGTCGGTCTTATAACTGCCTATAACTTGAGAAATGCTCATATTCCAATTAAAATTTTCACAAAAGGTTACTATTATGTCAAGGATAAACAAGCTTTGAGAGACGACGCAAATAAAATCGCTGAAACATAGTGTAAAACGTTGACTTTGCTTGGAGGGCATGAATATTGTAAGTTGGAAGCTGCGGTATGCGGTAAATTTTTGTAGAATGTTGCATATTTAGTGTCAGTGAAAGACCTTCTATTATTAAGAAGCTACTTATCTCAGTGATACTATGCATCCGTTATACATAATGTCACACATATTTTCTCTACATCTACCATGGAAACAAAAATATAATAGATTTGCTTTATACGAGTATTTGTGGTATGCAGAGGTCGAAGAGTCATCGCGATGTTGCCTCTTGAAACGATTTTAAGCCTCCAACGAAGGCGTAGGAAGTCAATTTATTTGACGTCGTTTTTCTCTTTGCGAGAAATAACGAAATCAGTTATGAGTGGTAAGTTCTGCATTACGTTGAATGGATCCGTTAGGCATTGGCCCTATTTCATAATAAACACGTAGTGGCGAAGGTCTTTGTAAATTGAATGGAGATATTTGAGGTCATCTGCGATAACTCGTGGCGACCGGGAATGTTTACCAAGTAGAATTAGGTTGGCAATGTAACTGCAGAAATTCTACAGCGATGTCGCGCCGAGCAGCACGTTTTTGGTTTATTAATCTCCATGATTAATGTTTGAATGTTGCTGTTCATCTAGCGGAAATTATCAGGGTTCGGGTAGCTAATACCGGTTTGACCTTGAAATCGCTCTCTGTTATGTGGTAAACGCATGTATATTCGGGAGATGGTCATAGGTTGTCAGAAAGGCAAAACGCACCGTGCCGAATACTGAGGCTTGTTCTCACAGAGACACCGTAGAGGTGTCACCTCTCTCTTCTTACCCCTTCCCCCCTTCGTACACGTCCCTTATTTATATTTATTATCGACTAGTCCATTCCATCTTATCGTTATGTATCATCATTTCATGTACCTCAAAAATTTCCAAATCCACGATCCGATTGCCATCATCTAAAAGTTGGCTGGGCAGATACTACATACGTCATCGGCATTTTTTAGAGCTTCCTCAAGGCATAGGAAAGATGTCTAGTGATTCAACTTCTCAAACTATGGCCTGCCACAGCAGCTTTGCAGATGGTTGGCTGACTTTTTCTCGGGCCGCAAGATATCTGTCGTAATTGATGGGTCCTCCTCTTCATCCCACAAGGTCAACGCGGGTGTTCCTCAGGGATCGGTCTTGGATCCGACAATATTCCTCTCACATTTCAACGATCAATCCAATCACTGCTTGGGGACACAACATTTTTGTACAGCTCAATGCTGCCAAAACACAGTATTGTACCTTGACAACTGAAAAAAAGCTAGGCTATTTGTTCAGGCCTAAGAAGTACTTTTCTCCACATGAACTCCGCACTCTGTACAAGCCGCAGGTACGACCTAGCCTCGAGTACTGCTCACATGCTTGGGGTGCTGAGCACCAGTGGGCTCTTCTACCGCTACGCCAATTGGCTTTTCTCCTCACAGATCTCCTTCATGATGCTCCCGCGTGATGTGCCTGCCAGACAAACCCGCCTGACTTTAGCCTCCCATCCTAACCGTGTCGATCGGATTAGCAAAGGTTGTTTAAGCTCCTCATAGCAGCCGCCGTACTCTGGCATTCAGGCTTCTGTCTGCGCCGCCGCTTCGGTGTTAGAAAAATTACAGTATTTTTCCTCTCCTGAACTTCTTCACAATTATGCTTATGTTATAGGTTTTTTAACTCGAGTGTTTTCTGATTTAGGCGAAGGACCTCCTGGAAGGGAGCCAGTAATGAGTGAAGAGGAGAGAAAACAGCTGATGTTACATGCATACAGGAAACAGGAAGAATTGAAGAAAATTGAAAAAGATGACGATGATAGCTACCTGAATTCTGACTGGGCCGACAGCTCTAATTTGAAGAAAACTTTCCATGGACTAAATAACATATCCTGGAGACCATAAAGTATACTTCCTTATTGTGATAGTCTGTTAATGATTCAAGAAATCTTCTTTCGTAAGAAGTTGTCTTGTTACTCTGCGCTGTGGATTCGTGGTGCAAAGCTGTTGATCTTTCAGTCGGCGCCGGCGCTGGTATGACCGAGCTGGTTTGTCATGCCGACTATCCCAATCGATAAAATATGTCGAAGTCATCTTGGATTGTGAACTGACTTAGAGCGCGAGCATTTTCAATAGGCTAGGCTAATATGGATGGCAATTCATGGAAGGTTTGCAGGCAGTTTACCGAAGTGCGATGGTGGTTAAAACCCAAGGTGACGTTAGTACGTCTTATATTCTTTCTAGTTATGGTTTTTCTGATAAACTTGTAGATCTTTTCAAATCATATCTGTCAGTTAGGTTTCAATTTATACTGTGTATATAAGTCAACCCCCAGTTTAATTACGTCTGGTGTTCCGCAAGGTTCAAACTTGGGTGCTTTACTATTCATTCTGTATAGTAATGATTCGATAGCGGCAGTTAATTGTAACCTTTTATATTTTGCGGACGATTTCATAATTTTTTCAAGAATTAATCAAGTCGAAAATAGCCACTTATTTCAAAATAATTTATTTGTTATTGAAAACGGGTGTAGTGAGGATTAACCTTTTCTCAATGGCTAAAAATGTAAAGTTGTTGCATATAATAGAAGAAACACTGTTAATTTCAATTACGTGGTCAATAATTGTGAGAAGCAAAGGGCAACCATTTTCAAAGATCTAGAAATAACTTTTATGTCTTTATTGTGCGAGACTAGAGGATTTTCAAATAAAGCATTAAAATAGTTGACTTTTAAAGTAGATGGAACTACTGAACTGGGCATTGCTTATGAAATTTTACGTAACAGGTTTGGTCAAGATATTTGCAATTGAGGCGAAATATAGCGTCTCTTTCCTTTCTGTACAAAATATTACATAATAGCATAGATAGCTCTCCCATCCAATGCCAAATAAATTTTAATGTACCCAGCTTCAGTAGCACGACAATCATTACATTTAAGCGTACTGGCTGCTCTTGGTTGCAGGAATGTCTATAAGTTTCACTTTAATTCACTTTGCAATGGTATTAACCCGATACCCCTACGCTTGTATGGACATGCTTTATGTCAGCTGAGGTACGACTGAACGCAGGAAATAAATAAAATTCCCCATACATACGGCACCAATATGGTCGAAGCGCTCATTAAGGTACCATCCAAAACTCTGATATAATGTAAATATTTGATCTGCACTTTGTACGGTGCCACTGTGGTGTAAATCGTTAATTTCTTTGCATGTGGTTTCATTTGACCAGAAAACCATGGAGTTATATCAGCAAGAAAACCACAGGATAAGTTTCAGATGATACAACAACCGCATGTGCGTTTCTGCCGGTACGGGCCAGTCTACGCGTACCTTAAGGTATTACTACATGAACATGTGCTTTTCAAAATTAAGCGACTGGCCACTGATCCATCCAAATGCGTGAAATTAATTTTTGAACGCTAATGGAAGATGGAAATAAAAAGGCTGTGAATTATTACTACACTTCTCAGTATTCGTATAAAAGCCATAGCCATTATAAATTAAGTTATGTTCACAAAGGGTTTGCTTGCGTATCCAATTAAGTATCCGTTTGATGAAAAAATATATTTCGCTAATATTTCAAATCAATGACAATTTTTTTAACATGACTGCGAAGTAAAACATGAGTGGAGCGCAAATATGAATGTGATATAATAGCTATTGTTTACCCAACTTACTGCATATGTGTATAACTAAATGAAGCATATATGGTTGTCCATGAAACCAGAATAACAATAAAATACATTCTTATTAAGGCATTATTAATGCGATCTCAGAGGTAATGTAACTCTGCAACCGCCAACCGGCCAATTAACCACAGGTAATACAATACGTCTGATAGCAATGACATCGTGAAATCGTGAACCACACTAATCCTCTATACTGAGCGTCGAATAAAAACAAGCAGATTAAATAATAATCAGAATACTAATTCGTAAATTACCTTCCAAATTTTCAGTAACGTTTTAATGCTGCTTGTTTCACACTGTCAGTTTTTTAAGTCTTTATTACTATTACTTCAAAGGTGACATTAAGTCAGTTTTTTGACATTATGTAGGCGTTTTATGACATTATGCAGATTTTCCAACAAGACGTCAACTTGGAACTAGCCGTCGTTTATTTCATGCTCACTTGTAGCAAGCGCGGAATGAACTATTTGCACACTCGCCTACTTAGTCAACAAGTTGGGAAAACTGCTTTCGGTTAGTTTCTCCGAGACATAATAGTCCAATCATATTAGCAAATTTCTCCGAAATAATTGTAAAGTCGGGTTTTATTGATGATGCAAGTTGTTCAAGGGGTACTTACAACATGGAAAACCTTTTAATTGACAAAAAAGAATGGGAAAACGCGTCTTTTGACGAGACCTACAAAATGAGACCACTCGTAAAAAGATCCGACAAATAGTAAAAATCTTATGGCCGAAAACCGACGCAAAGTGCAGGTTTTAGCACTTGTTGCTAATGCGATGATAATTTCACGCAGCTACTTGAAATTCTTCGAACCCGTAGGGTTTATTCCCCTGTTGTGGTTAACAAAAGAAGTCGATTAGTCAGGGAGTTTTTGCGAATTTCTAGTTGTTTATCCAAAACAAATCTGTCTTAGGGCCATCACTACTAGTTTACTGAGCAGTATACAGAGTTCTTTCAAAGGGCATTTTAAAGTAAAATACACGAGTCTACCTTGCCGACGTGAATCACAAACCATTCCCAAATATAATTGTTATTTTTATGCGAAAAAACTAACGGTTACGTTTTTTTTCTTATAAACAAATTCAAACATTTCATATATGTGGGTAACTGAACAGATTCGCTACGATATTTAAAAAACATACCTTATTATACATATTTTAAAACAAAGCGGAAGTGTCTATCACCTTTTGTTACGAAAAAAACAATTTTTCTTCAAGATTTCTTCATACTCTTGTGTATACATATTTAGAGATGAAGCGCAAACTATGTTTCAAACTGTCTTAGACTGGTTAGTGTGTAGCATGTGTTAAATGGCTGCATTATTGATGACTGCATGACTTTGTCAAATAAGTAGGTCACGTAATCCAGTTTCTTTGCGGAGAAATATAATTCCTAGACTTTTTTTCTAAAAGTATTAATATAGTAACCATTTGTTTTCTAAATCTCGTTAGATTAAAACCACTGCGAGTTGAAAATTTTGCAAAATAAACTCATGAAAAGGAAAAGACATTAGACAAATATAAACCAATTGTGGCTAACTGACCGTTTTAAAAATTAGGCAAAATGTTCGTTATTGGTCCCTAGTACATTACGTCTATGTTTTGAATACCGCCTTGAACCACTTGCATCAATAAAACCACACTTTACAATTATTTCGAAAGCCAGGGGTATTTTCGTCTAACATGATTAAACTATAACATATACTCGTACAAGATTCAGCGAAATGAACTGGAATCATTCTTATAGATAGAGCAGATAGTTGAGAAAAGCCGATGCAGCGTTATATTGACTTGGGCTGCCTATATCTTGGGACCCGTTGAGTTTTGGGGCCTATGCCGATCAATGCATTTTTCAGGGTACCAAAACACATAACAAATGGAAAATTCGGAAAAACTTGCCGAAACCAGTCTCGACATAAAGCAGCCGAGTAGAACCGGTACCCCATTTAACTGACTTGAAAAGACTATAGCTTGGCACCCGTTGAATTTTGGGGTCTGTGCCCATCAAGACATTTGCTAAGGACTCCAAAACAGCTGCCTTCACACTTTTAAGTTATATCTATGAGTCTGTAGATACTCTGGCTCTCTTCTTTAACCTAAGTCGAGCCTTTGATTGTATTGATGATAACATTCTCGTTGAAAAGCTCAGGCATACAGGATTCAGGTCACCACTAGACGCATGAATAAAATCGTTTGTATCGAACAGAAAAATATAAGTAAGAGACACATTTGAAATAAACTTGGTCCCTCAGGGATGTATACTATCACCTCTCTTATTTCTGTTGTTTATAAATGATATGAGTGGAAGCTATAAGCGGAAAGTCACCCGGACAACTCGAAGATAAGGCAAACATTATTTTACTAAAATTTTCAGAATGGATTGCGGAAATCAAGTTGATAGTAAATACATCCAAAACAAAGACTATATATATAAAAATCGAACTGTACCTGCTCTGACGCTCACGCTAAACAGTACTACCATAGATGAAGGTGGAAAGCCACAAATTTCTGGGTCTCTACTTGGACGAAACACTTTCCTCGGAAACACACATAAAGTATGTGGCTGGTAAGCTTAACTCAGCATACTTTGCATCAAGAAACCTACGGGGACTAGTTAGTCGGAGGAGTCTTCTTGATACTTATTTTGCAATGGCGTACTGCTACATGAAGTACTTGGTTTTATATTGGGGCATTTCTTGTGGCATACAGAGAATATTCATTCTGCAAAAGAGACTGACTAGATTAGTATTTGGTCTCAACCCACTGGACAGCTGTAGACCAGTATTTAAAGATAATAAAATTTTAACGTTACCGTCATTATTGATCTTCGAGTCATGCTTATTTATTAAAGAAAAAACAGATTTATTCCCCCAGCCCAGTGAAATACACTTCTACAATACTATATATAATACCCATATTCATATTCAAAATTTTAACCTTAGTGCTTATAAGAAGAGTCCAATGTATTTATGTAGTGCTATGTATAATAAATTGCCTTTAAATATTAAGCAGACTACCAGTTTATCTTTGTTCTAACCTTTTACTAAATAACAGGTTATTCTTATTATGTGTTTCCATATCCCAATTCCTTCATGTCATGTATTAGTTATCCACATCTTTTCTTTTTATTTTGACGTTTTGTATCCTATTTACAGGCTCATACATATAAAGCATTATTCTATTCTATGCAAAGCTATAAATTAATTGCGCATCCGCTTTTTCATATTCAACCTGGAAATTACATATGCAAAGTTGCTGAATTTTAAAAAAG